AAGGTGTTCCATAGCTTGGCCCCAGGGCATAGAACATGTAAAGGAGCCTCTAGCTCTGGGATGAAGACTATGGTCAAACAGCTTTGCTCCTCTGGCACAATGGAACTCTCTACAATAAGGAAAAACATGTGTGCAGTAGACAGAACTTTCTGGGAGGCTGGTCTCAGATGGTAAATGAACTCCCTCAGGAGGTAAGGACCATCGCAAACCTCACCAGTCGAAATCCATCCTCTTTGGAACCCCCTTTCAGGTAGCTGAACGCAGCTATCAAATCCCCCCTCAGCTATCAAATCCCCCCTCATTCTTCTCTTCTGCAGACTAAATAATCCCAGTTCCCTCAGCCTCTCCTCATAAGTCATGTGCTCCAGCCCCCTAATCATTTTTGTTGCCCTCCACTGGACTCTTTCCAATTTATCCACATACTTCTTGTGGTGTGGGGCCCAAAACTGGACACAGTACTCCAGATGAGGCCTCACCAATGCCAAATAGAGGGGAATGATCATGTCCCTCAATCTGCTGGAAATGCCCCTTCTTATACAACCCAAAATGCCACTGGCCTTCTTGGCAACAAGGGCACACTGTTGACTCATATCCAGCTTCTCATCCACTGTAACCCCTAGGTCCTTTTCTGCAGAACTGCTGCCTAGCCATTTGGTCCCTATCTGTAGCAGTGCATTGGGTTCTTCCGTCCTAAGTGCAGGACTGGAATGCGTTACCTAGGGAGGTGGTAGAATCTCCTTCCTTAGAAGTTTTTACGGTCAGGCTTGACAAAGCCCTGGCTGGGATGATTTAGTTGGGATTGGTCCTGCTCTGGGCAGGGGGTTGGACTAGATGACCTCCAGAGGTCCCTTCCAATTCTATGATTCTATGACTCTGCACTTGTTTTTGTTGAACCTCATCAGATTTCTTTTGGCCCAATCCTCTAAATTGTCTAGTCCCTCTGTATCCTATCCCTGCCCTCCAGCATATCTACCTCTCCTCCCAGTATATTGTCATCTGCAAACTTACTGAGGGTGCAATCCACGCCATCCTCCAGATCATTTATGAAGATATTGAACAAAACCGGCCCCAGGACCGACCCTTGGGGCACTCCGCTTGATACTGGCTGCCAACTAGACATGGAGCCATTGATCACTACCCATTCAGCCCGACGATCTAGCCAGCTTTCTATTCACCTTATAGTCCATTCATCCAGCCCATACTTCTTTAAGTTGCTCACAGGAATTTGGTAATTTTAAAATCAAGGTTGGATGTTTTTCTAAAAGATCTGTGGTAAGGAATTATTTTGGGAGGATTCTATGGCCTGTGTTACACAGTGGTCTGATGGGGTATATGGTTCCACACTGGAACTGAAGGAGTTAAGGAGAAGTTCTGGGCACAGGTGACTCTGCCCCCACCACCTGTACAATCTGCTCCTGCTGGAGGAGGAGCATAAAAAGGAGCCAGACAGCTCAGAAGTAGACAGACCTATCCTTATGTTACCCGGGGTTCTTTCAACCTAAAGCTCTTGGTAACTTTTACTCTGTGCGAGGTGGTGTCAGGAAATAAATCAGGGGAGACACGGCCGTCCGACCAGTCGATGGCTGGCACAAACAGGACAACACAAGAGTGCTTTCACTTAAAGCTAAACTTTACTTAGTCTCAAGCCCCATACACACGTCCGCAAGAGGTTAGTAAAACACCCACAACCCTTGATAATTACCAAAGCTGAGTGTGGCTCTCGAGTGGCACAGCGGCAGCCTGTCTGCCGCTGGGGAACACAAGATGCATCCAGAGGGAGAGTCCAGTCCTGAAGAGTCCCCCCGACCTCAAACTTTTTCCCCTTATTTATACATTAGTAATAGAATGATATGTCCCTTAAAGCAAACTTGTTAAGTAAGCAGTTTCAATAGTCAAGCAAGAGGTTCCTTCTGATTATCGATTAACCAGGTGTGGGGTTTTCCAGAGTTTGCAGCCTTGAGGCCCCAATAGACATTCCTGGGGCACATCCTGCTCTTCGAAAATGCATGTATCAGCCACTTCCACACAATTCGTATCAGGAAGGAGGCGGGGTCAAGCTGCCCTTTCTGTGGCACCCCCTCCTGCCTTGGTTAAGCCAAGCCTGCTGACTTGGCTAATTTACAGCCTGCTGACTTGGCTGCTTTTAGCAATAAGCCATAGTGGTTTCAGGCACTTTACTGGTTTGCCAAAGTCTCCCCGTACACTGAGAGCTCCATGGGGGAACTGCAGAAGCTTTCACTCTCAGGAAGAGGCTACCAGCTGAGCCCACCTGGATTTCTCCTCTCTTATGTTGAACTTTGAGTCTTTTAGGGGAGGCGAATGGTAGGAAGTGGCCAAAGGAGGCACCCTTGAGGTGCTCCAGGGTCCTTGATACTGTTGCCTCTCATAGGGCCCTGGGTTGGAGCCCATTGAAGAGAGAGGGCCCAGGTCCTTATCACAGGGAAGGGAGGTTTATGCCCTCGGAAGCAGCCCTCTCAGAAGTAAGGAGAGAGTAGAGACATTCAAAGCCCCGAAGCAAGGGGGGGATGTAAGTCCACCTATAGGGGTCAGGAGGTGGACTTACATCCTCATCACAGGTAGGGCCTTGGGACTCTCTATATTTTTTTGAACTCTGTTACTCCAGAAAGGGGCATGAATTGGTGACCCAATTGGAGGGTATGTCAGCAAGAGTTGTTGTTGAAGATGAGGTTTGTGGGGAGTGGAGGCCCAGTGACCTAACCACTAGGTGACACCACTGGTAAACCCAGCCCTCTACCTGTCAGAAGGGGTCAGATTAGATGATCACAATGGTCCCTTCTGGCCTTGGAATCTATGAATCTCTAGCAGGAGACCTTTTCATTTGGGCTAATGTGTCTTTCTGTCTCCCTTTTTTTGTACCTTTTTGCCATCATCATTTCCTGTTACATGTGCTTAGAATATTGTATATACTTTTATCCAATTTCTCATCATTAGGCTCACAAATGGGGTGGGTCTATCAGTCCGCAAGTCTTACAGCAGCCGCCCCTAACACAGGGAGGGCCCTTTGCAGCAGTATCTCGAGCACCAAGGGAGTGCATTGCTGTCGGTGAGCTGGGGCCTCTGCCTGACACAGATGCTGGCAATCAGTATTTGCTGGTAGTGACAGATACTTCACAAAATGGCCTGAGGCTTATCCAATGTGCAATCCAGAGGCTGTGACGGTAGCAGGGGTTCTAGTGAATGAATTCTTCACCAGATCTGGGGTCCCAAGTGAGTTGCACAGGAATCTAGGGGCAGATTAAGGTTCCGTGGGGCCCTGGGCCAGAGCAAGTGGGGGACCCCTCCCCACACCTGCTGCCCACTGTCCCACCCCTATTCTGCCCCTTCCACCTGCAGCCCTGCTCAGGGCCTCACACCGTTCTCTCCCTTCCCCGACGGCCCCGCCCTTGTTCTACCCACGGTCCTGCCACATTCTGCCCCCGCACACTGCAGCCCCCCGTTTGCTCCCTGGGGCCGCAGCAGGGAGTGACAGTTTCCCCAGCCCTGAGGCTGAGGCAAGGAGCTAGAGCTCCTCTAGTCTCATGGCTGCAGATGGGGTCCCGGTGCTGGGGCATCCCCTGCTGTCTGGAGCTTCTGCCAGGGAGCATAGCGGAGTCAGGGAGCAGGGGCTTCCCCTGCCCCACCCTGCCTGCCCAGCGCTCCTGCCAGGGAGCAGAGCGGGGTAGGGGCACATGGGCTTCCCCCACTCCATCCAGCACTGCTTCCAGGGAGTAGGGGCAGGGCGCGAAGACTTCCCCTGACCTGCCCTGGCGCTTGTCTCCTGGGGGTGGGGTGCCCATTTTTCCAGGCCCCCTAATTGGATGGGGCCCAGGGGCCCATTGGCTAATCCGCCACTGCATGGATCAAAGGAGAAACTGTGACTCCAAAATGTTTCAGCAGGTTTGTGAGACTCTAAGGATCCCCAACTCACCCCACCCCAGCACACACACAGTCTTTTGGGGGTGGAGGGGGGGAAGGTTCAATAGGATGCTGGGGACTCAGCTGGCTACTGTTGAACAACACACCAAATGGATGGAGACCAGCATGTCCCATTCCTTGTGATGGCTGATAGAACAGCAGGCTATGAGAGTTCAAAGCGTACCCCAGAACTCCTCATGTTTGGGCAGGAGCTCAGCACCCCAGCAAACCTCTCGAATGGAGTCCCTGAAGAGGAACAGAGGGATTTGAACCATCTGGACTATGTAGAAACCCTACACCTACAACCCAGAATAGAAAGAGTTCATAACTTTGCTAGAGCAAATGTGAGGGCAGCCTCTGACAAACTGAAAAAAACTCTGTAATTGAAGGTCATGTGGGGAGATGTTTAAGGGGGGATCCAGTTCCACAATCTTAGCAGAGTGAATATTAGGAGCCCTCAGCTGCACAAACCTTGGGAGGCACCCTACACAGTACTAACACAAATAAATTAAGTGGCGTTCAGAATACAGATGGAACCCAGGCCTAAGCTTAAAGTTATCCATGAGGAACATCTGCGAAGACATCACGGGGACAGAATGTCAGGATGGTTGCCCACCAGAACCTCAGAATGTAACTGTGGAAGCTGAGGCTGGAAGAGTTGTGATAGTAATGAGTTCCCCATTAGAATAGAATAGAATGGACAGGGCCTATCCCAGACAGCAGATTTCACAGGAACAACAGACAGAGCTCAAGGTTCACTGGAAGAGGCCCCTACTGGGTGGCTGAAAGGAAATCAGGTAGAGACATAAAAGGGGTTCTCCAAGAAGATTTGTGTTTCATGTGAAAACATCCCAACAAAAAACACCATGTAAATAGTTAAACTTGCATCATTTGTACAGGATGTACATTTGTACTTTTCTTTTCGTTTGGGTTGAGTCATACAGGGTGTCACCATTTTGAACTCCATTAGGAGCAAGAGAGTTGAGCTGAAGTATGCATTAACAGTTATCCTCACAGCTGCAGTCTCTCCATTGTTACCTTATTACCTGTGCAATGATGTTCTGAATCTCATTTTTTTCCCACAGATTCACATACTGATGGTCAAGACCCTGGAGGACGTGAACTGAGAATTGTCCTCGTTGGTAAAAGTGGAGCTGGGAAAAGTGCGACAGGAAACACCATCCTTGGCAAGAGAAAGTTTGAGTCCAAGCTCATGGTAAAAAAGTCAGTAACTGAGACTTGTGCTAAAGAGAGGGTAACATGGGATGGGAGGGAGGTTGTGGTTATCGATACTCCTGATATTTTTGATACAAAGGCCCCTGATGAAGCATCTGCCTGTGAGATCGCTCGCTGTATCATGCTCTCCTGCCCAGGCCCCCATGCTCTGGTGCTGGTTACACAGCTGGGCTGTTACACTGAAGATGATACGGCAGCAGTCAGTCGAATACGAGAGATTTTTGGGGCTGAAGCAATGAGGTACATGGTTGTCTTATTCACCCGGAAAGAAGACTTAGAAGGTGACTCACTGAATGATTATATAAGAGACTTGGATAACCAAGATCTTCGGAAGTTGATTAATGTTTGTGGGAACCGATGCTGCGCTTTGAACAATAAAGCAACTGGCACAGAAAGGGATGAGCAGATTAATGAACTGAGGAAAGTGATTGAGGAAATGGTGCAGGGGAATGGAGGCCGATCTTACAGCAATGAGATGTACAAATATGCCAAAGAGAAGACTGAACAACAGGAGAGGGAATTTGAGAAAATATACAGAGAACTAGAGGAAGAAAAGGTAAAAGATATAATACATCACTTCAAGGAGAAATATAAAAATATAAAGGAAGGCTTAAAGTCAAGGCCAGAGGAAATAAAGGAAATACATCTAAGACTAGGCGAGACTGTATATCAAGCTTTAGAAACGCTGTCAGAAGCTCAAAGAGCCAGAGAGGCAGAACAGGAAGAAAACCTGCTGAAAGAAATACAGAAGTACTACAAGGAAAAGGGAAAACAAGGGAAGAAGGAAGCAATGACGGTAATGAGATTACCTCTGTGTTTGCATATTTAAGTATACTTACTCCTGTGCAAGTGGGACCTAAACAAAGTTCTGCGGTATTTAGGGGAATCTGGACTAGTGAGGGGCTGAGTACTGAGGGGTCTGGCACCTTGCCAAAGGCACTCAGCCCTTCAGCAGATTGAAATCCCAGGACTGTAATTATGACACTGATCACCTTTAGAAAGTGATTTGAAACCGACTAATGAAAAAGGCTATATGAGAGCGAGGTATTTATTAATTATAAATTATAAATTAATTATAAATAATTGGATTATGTTTTAATTATTAGTATAACGGTAAGTTCCTGGCCTACCTTCTTCTCCTCCGGCAGCTGTACCACCCCAAGTCCTGCCCCCGGTAACGTGGGGTGGGGAGGGGAGGGAAAGAGCATGGGGACCCCAGGCTGGGGGTGGGGCAGAGTCACATGGAGGGTCACATGGGGAGGTCATGTGCCCCCCTTAGCCCCTCCCCATACCGGGGACAAATAAAAGTTACTTGCACCGCTGGCGAGGAGACAGAGCTGTGGAGCTTGGGGCTTGCGATGACTGGGGTTTGTGGGACCTTCCTGCTTCCTGTTCCTGTTGGTTTCCTGGTTTCTGCTCCCTGAACTCAGTGTTGCTGTTCGTGCTGTGGAAAGGTGGTGTGGGTGCGTAGCGTTCGGTGTGCACAGCCAGGCAGGCCCTGGGGCTACAAACCTGCTCTTCAGACTGTTACGTTCTATTCAGACTCTTGCTGACCTCCCTGGTTCATGGCTGTTGCGTGTTTTGACTGATAACTACATGCATATCCTGCAATAGGTGCTTCTGGTCTGCAACCCATGCTGCCTGCACGTCCTTTGGCTGTTGACTGGCAATATTTTATTCAGAACTTTGGAACTATGTGCCGGTCATGCAACCCTCTTGGTTGCTTGGTTACCCTTGCTGCAGAACTGCTTAGGCTGTGATGGCACTGATTTTCTTGACAGACTCCCGGACTCCAAGTCCTCCATTCATGCCCCCGTGCAGAGCCTCGGTGAGGATTTAGCACTGGCTCTTCTGGTCTCTTAAAAAGGAAAACTTGTTTTTGAAGCTCACCAGCAGCCCAGCGAAACCATACATGAGTTTGCATGTTGTTTGCATTGGTTGGCCCAGGACTGTGAATTTGGGCGCATGATGATGATCATGCTCAGGGATATTTTTGTGACTGGTGTAGCCAATGAGTGCCTGGGTGAACGGTTACTGGCTGAAGGTGCTAGAATTGCTAACTTTTGATTCTGTGTTTGCTAAGAGTGGCTCATTTGAGAGGGCTTGGGCTGAAAGGGGTTCTGTGTCTCAAACTGCTGCTAATTTTGTGTCTATGCTTAAACCATCAGCTGCTCCTCCTAGTTGTGTTGACTAGGGTAATACGACACTGTCTACTCCCACTCCGTGGCCGCAGCAGCAAACGTTGCCAGCTCCTCACTGTTTCCGCTGTGTTAGTACTGGCCACTTGTCCAATTTCCCTGCCTGCCCAGCTAGAATTGCTGTGTGCTGGGCTTGGGGGTAGGGAGGGCACGTCACGTGAGTGTGCCACAGTGCACTGGTTCGCGATGTGCGGCAGCCTGAAGTCCATATGGAGCCACATGACACCACCTTTACCAGGACCCCAATGGTTCCTATAGTATGATCTTCTCATGCGACAGGGTGCTGGAGATGGTATCCCATACGGTAGGAAGTAATGGTAAACTACTGACGTCCACAGTGGATACAGGTGCTGAAGTTAACGTTCTTCCATCGGAGTCAATTCACAATCTGGACATTTGCTCAGCTGCAGTGATTATAAAAGCTTGCGGTTGGTATGCCTTGCAGACAGAGCATACAACTGCACCCACTATGCTCGATAACGGCATAGCCTTGACAACAAAGTTTTACATTGTTAAAGGTGGTGCTGTGAATTCTGTTCCATTATTGTCCTACTATCTGTATTGTTCATTTTTATTTAACGGTGATGGTGCTCTGTCCATGGGATATGTGTATCCTCCACAGCTGGATATGAAAGCCACCGCCTTTGCACCTGCTGCATGTCATTTACCTCCTGCACTTGTGGACAAGATGCAAGTAGAATTGCAGTGCATGAAAGATAACTGTATCATTCGGAAGGTGGAAAGGTGAACAGATTGGAGCTCACCCACAGTGATGGTAGACAAGAAGAATGGTGACATTTGACTCCATAGATTTTAGGGCACATAATAAATATATAAAATGTGACCAGTTTCATTTGCCAACCTTTGAAGAGGTGATGTACCAGGTAAGTAGATCCCAGATTTTCTCTTTGTTGGACTACCAATCCAGTTATTGGCAGATACCTGTGGCTGAAAGTTCACCGCTGTTGTTGACTTCCAGCATGCCATTTGGGGGTTTTACTGCTATCAACTACTCCCTTTTGGCTTAGTCTCAGTTCCTGAGATGTTTCAGAGAGTGCTCTCTCAGCTCCTTGATAATATCCAAGGTGCATGTTGCTATTTGTATGACATTCTCTTCTTTGATAAGATCCTTCTTCAGCATAATGCTATTCTGGACCAAGTGCTAACCCAACATCAGCATAAAATGGAATGCAACCAAAAGGAGATTTGCAAAAGATGCTGTAGAGTTTTTAGGGAATTCTCTGTCAGCCATTGGTATGAAACCAATGTCTGAATGGTTACAATCTGCTGCTTTGCTGTCATTACCCACTGGTTGTAGCAGTTTATGTTCGTTCCTTGGATCAATACATAGGTGGCCATGCTCTGCCCCATGCTAAGCCACTGTGGGATTTAACCCAGGGCCAGGGCCAGTCAGTTTGGACTAAAGAAGGAAACAGGATTCTGAACCCTGCATTAAGCCCTCTGTTGGATCCAATCCCATGTTCATTTTGATCCATGGAAGCCTGTAGTGATTCACACTGATGCATGCAATTGGGGTCTGGGCACAGTTCTGCTTCACAAGGGATGTCCAGTTATATTTGCATCCCATATTGTCACCCCAATGGAACCTAAGTATTCCCAGGCTGACCTAGAGTTCTGGCAATGGTTTTTGCTACTTTATACTTCAAGGTCTACTTAGAGGGAAGACACTTCACCTTAGAAACTGACCATTGGCCTATTCCTCCGTCACCAGGCCAGTGACCTGTAGAGTGGGAGGCTGCAGCGGTGGATTATTCAGTTGCAGCAGTATAACTTTGATTTGGTACCTATCAAAGGGAGATGTAATTTACTTGCCCGTGCTTTTTTGAGAAATTCTGCTGCATTGGCTCACTTGTACTATGCTGTTTCTGCCTCCATCATATGCTTTTTACTGAGCCCTGGTCTACACTAGGACTTTAGGTCGAATTTAGCAGCATTAAATCGATGTAAACCTGCACCCGTCCACACGATGAAGCCCTTTATTTCGACTTAAAGGGCTCTTAAAATCGATTTCCTTACTCCACCCCTGACAAGTGGATTAGCGCTTAAATCGGCCTTGCCCGCTCAAATTTGGGGTACTGTGGACACAATTCGACGGTATTGGCCTCAGGGAGCTATCCCAGAGTGCTCCATTGTGACCGCTCTGGACAGCACTCTCAACTCAGATGCACTGGCCAGGTAGACAGGAAAAGAACCGCGAACTTTTGAATCTCATTTCCTGTTTGGCCAGCGTGGCAAGCTGCAGGTGACCATGCAGAGCTCATCAGCACAGGTGAGCATGATGGAGTCCCAGAATCGTAAAAGAGCTCCAACATGGACTGAACGGGAGGTACGGGATCTGATCGCTGTTTGGGGAGAGGAATCCATGCTACCAGAACTCCGTTCCAGTTTTCGAAATGCCAAAACCTTTGTCAAAATCTCCCAGGGCATGAAGGACAGAGGCCATAACAGGGACCCGAAGCAGTGCCGCGTGAAACTGAAAGAGCTGAGGCAAGCCTACCAGAAAACCAGAGAGGCGAACGGCCGCTCCGGGTCAGAGCCCCAAACATGCCGCTTCTATGATGAGCTGCATGCCATTTTAGGGGGTTCAGCCACCACTACCCCAGCCGTGTTGTTTGACTCCTTCAATGGAGATGGAGGCAATATGGAAGCAGGTTTTGGGGATGAAGAAGATGATGATGATGATGATGTTGTAGATAGCTCACAGCAAGCAAGCGGAGAAACCGGTTTTCCCGACAGCCAGGAACTGTTTCTCACCCTGGACCTGGAGCCAGTACCCCCCGAACCCACCCAAGGCTGCCTCCTGGACCCAGCAGGCGGAGAAGGGACCTCTGGTGAGTGTACCTTTTAAAATACTATACATGGTTTAAAAGCAAGCATGTGAAAGGATTACTTTGCCCTGGCATTCGTGGTTCTCCTAGATGTACTCCCAAAGCCTTTGCAAAAGGTTTCTGGGGAGGGCAGCCTTATTGCATCCTTCATGGTAGGACACTTTACCACTCCAGGCCAGTAACACGTACTCGGGAATCATTGTAGAACAAAGCATTGCAGTGTATGTTTGCTGGCATTCAAACAACATCCGTTCTTTATCTCTCTGTGTTATCCTCAGGAGAGTGAGATATAATTCATGGTCACCTGGTTGAAATAGAGTGCTTTTCTTCAGGGGACACTCAGAGGAGCCCATTCCTGCTGGGCTGTTTGCCTGTGGCTAAACAGAAATGTTCCCCGCTGTTAGCCATGGGGAGGGGGGAGGGTTGAGGGGGTAGCCACGCGTTGGGGGAGGCAAAATGCGACCTTGTAACGAAAGCACATGTGCTATGTATGTAATGTTAACAGCAAGGTTTACCCTGAAAGAGTGTAGCCACTGTTTTATAAAATGTGTCTTTTTAAATACCGCTGTCCCTTTTTTTTTCTCCACCAGCTGCATGTGTTTCAAGGATCACAGGATCTTCTCCTTCCCAGAGGCTAGTGAAGCTTAGAAAGAAAAAAAAACGCACTCGCGATGAAATGTTCTCCGAGCTCATGCTGTCCTCCCACACTGACAGAGCACAGACGAATGCGTGGAGGCAAATAATGTCAGAGTGCAAGAAAGCACAAAATGACCGGGAGGAGAGGTGGCGGGCTGAAGAGAGTAAGTGGCGGGCTGAAGAGAGTAAATGGCGGGCTGAAGAGAGTAAATGACGGGCTGAAGAGAGTAAGTGGCGGGCTGAAGACAGGGCTGAAGCTCAAATGTGGCGGCAGCGTGATGAGAGGAGGCAGGATTCAATGCTGAGGCTGCTGGAGGACCAAACCAGTATGCTCCAGTGTATGGTTGAGCTGCAGCAAAGGCAGCTGGAGCACAGACTGCCACTTCAGCCCCTCTGTAACCAACCGCCCTCCTCCCAAGTTCCATAGCCTCCACACCCAGACGCCCAAGAACGCGGTGGGGGGGCCTCCGGCCAACCAGCCACTCCACCACAGAGGATTGCCCAAAAAAAAGAAGGCTGTCATTCAATAAATTTTAAAGTTGTAAACTTTTAAAGTGCTGTGCTTAAAGTGCTGTGTGGCATTTTCCTTCCCTCCTCCACCACCCCTCCTGGGCTACCTTGGTAGTCATCCCCCTATTTGTGTGATAAATGAATAAAGAATGCATGAATGTGAAGCAACAATGACTTTATTGCCTCTGCAAGCGGTGATTGAAGGGAGGAGGGGCGGGTGGTTAGCTTACAGGGAAGTAGAGTGAACCAAGGGGCGGGGGGGTTCATCAAGGAGAAACAAACAGAACTTTCACACCGTAGCCTGGCCAGTCATGAAACTGGTTTTCAAAGCTTCTCTGATGCGTACCGCGCCCTCCTGTGCTCTTCTAACCGCCCTGGTGTCTGGCTGCACGTAACCAGCAGCCAGGCGATTTGCCTCAACCTCCCACCCCGCCATAAACATCTCCCCCTTACTCTCACAGATATTGTGGAGCACACAGCAAGCAGTAATAACAGTGGGAATATTGGTTTTGCTGAGGTCTAAGCGAGTCAGTAAACTGCACCAGCGCGCCTTTAAACGTCCAAATGCACATTCTACCACCATTCTGCACTTGCTCAGCCTGTAGTTGAACAGCTCCTGACCACTGTCCAGGCTGCCTGTGTACGGCTTCATGAGCCATGGCATTAAGGGGTAGGCTGGGTCCCCAAGGATACATATAGGCATTTCAACATCCCCAACAGTTATTTTCTGGTCTGGGAATAAAGTCCCTTCCTGCAGCTTTTGAAACAGACCAGAGTTCCTGAAGATGCGAGCGTCATGCACCTTTCCCGGCCATCCCACGTTGATGTTGGTGAAACGTCCCTTGTGATCCACCAGAGCTTGCAGCACTATCGAAAAGTACCCCTTGCGGTTTATGTACGCGGCGGCTTGGTGCTCCGGTGCCAAGATAGGGATATGGGTTCCGTCTATGGCCCCACCACAGTTAGGGAATCCCATTGCAGCAAAGCCATCCACTATGATCTGCACATTTCCCAGGGTCACTACCCTTCATATCATCAGATCAGATACAGCAGCCCCAACAGTAGATTTGCCCACTCCAAATTGATTACCAACTGACCGGTAGCTGTCTGGCGTTGCAAGCTTCCACAGGGCTATCGCCACTCGCTTCTCAACTGTGAGGGCTGCTTTCATCTTGGTATTCATGCGCCTCAGGGCAAGGGAAAGCAAGTCACAAAGTTCCATGAAAGTGCCCTTACGCATGCGAAAGTGTCGCAGCCACTGGGAATCGTCCCAGACCTGCAACACTATGCGGTCCCACCAGTCTGTGCTTGTTTCCCGAGCCCAGAATCAGCGTTCCACAGCATGAACCTGCCCCATTAGCACCATGATGCATGCATTGGCAGGGCCCATGCTTTCAGAGAAATCTGTGTCCATGTCCTGATCACTCACGTGACCGCACTGACGTCGCCTCCTCGCCCAGTATCGCTTTGCCAGGTTCTGGTGCTGCATATACTGCTGGATAATGCGTGTGGTGGTTAATGTGCTCCTAATTGCCAAAGTGAGCTGAGCGGCCTCCATGCTTGCCTTGGTATGGCGTCCGCACAGAAAAAAGGCGCGGAACGATTGTCTGCCGTTGCTCTGACGGAGGGAGGGGCGACTGACGACACGGCTTACAGGGTTGGCTTCAGGGAGCTAAAATCAACAAAGGGGGTGTCTTTACATCAAGGAGTATTTCAGGCAGGACTTCACGGAGGGTTCCAATAAGAAATGGTGCACCTAAGTTATTGTTCTTATTGGAACAAGCAGGTTAGCCTGGCCTCTGATTGATACATGGCTAGATTTACCTCGCTGCACCTTCTCTGTGAGTGACTGCAGTGTGACCCAGAGGAATGAGTCCCCTAGACAGGGGAGGAGGCAAATGAGTACAAAACAAATCTGGTCTATTTCTTGTTTTGATCCACTCCATCTATCTTTTACATCTTTGGCTGGCAGCAGATGGTGCAGAAGGACTGCATGCCATCCACATCTCATGGCTGCTCGGCAGAAGATGGTACAGTACGACTGCTAGCCATCCTCATCTCTTGCCTGCCTGGCAGAAGATGGTACAATATGACTGCTAGCAATCCTCATCTCTTGCCAGCCCGGCAGAAGATGGTACAGTACGACTGCTAGCAATCTGTATCGCCTGCCTGCTCACCATAAGACGGTTCAATAGGACTGACTGCAGGACTAAAGAGAATGACCTGGTCAAGTCACTCCAAATTTAGTCCCTGCACCCATGTCTGCCCAGGCGCTCCCAGCCGACGTGGCCTGGAGCACCTCGGACACGACGAGGACGGCTACCAGTCGTACTGCACCATCTGCTGCCAGAAGGCAATGGGTTGCTGCTACTGTGTAGCAAAACCGTACCGCGTCTGCCAGCACCCAGGAGACATAGGGTGACGGTTACCTGAGTGGGCTCCATGCTTGCCGTGGTATGGCATCTGCACAGGTAACTCAGGAAAAAAGGCGCGAAACGATTGTCTGCCCTTGCTTTCACGGAGGGAGGGAGGGAACGGGGGCCTGACGATATGTAACCCAGAACCACCCGCGACAATGTTTTAGCCCCATCAGGCATTGGGATCTCAACCCAGAATTCCAGTGGGCAGCGGAGACTGCGGGAACTGTGGGATAGCTATCCACAGTGCAATGCTCCGGAAGTCGACTCTAGCCTCGGTACTGTGGAAGCACTCCGCCGAGTTAATGCACTTAATGCACTTAGAGCATTTTCTGTGGGGACACACACACTCGAATATATAAAACCGATTTCTAAAAAAACGACTTCTATAAATTCGACCTTATTCCGTAGTGTAGACATACCCTGAGAGACATGCCAGTTGATTTAGGGCCAACTTCTGACGCCACTCCAAGATGCTGAACTTAGGTGATACGTGCAAAACGAAAAGCTTAGATGGACCCAATCGTTAAAAAAATTCATTTCAAATTCACAGTGAAGACATGCTACTTGACATAGCTTATGCAGAGAAGACCAGGTTATCATCCCAGCAGCATTGTAACCAGCAATCATGGATGTGGTTTGTGAAGGACATTTGGGAGTTACAAAGATGAAGGAACTCCTGTGTACTTATGCTTACTGGCCAGGGCTGCACTCAGACATTGAACATCATGTGAAGGTATGTTCAGCCTGCACAATGCATGGAATTACTGTTCGTCTGGCCTCTTTGAAATGAGTAGCCATAGATAGACCATGGCGAGAATTGCAGTGGATATTACTGGCCCCTCAATTGTATTACTGGCCCCTCAACTGTACTGCATGGCTACAGAATGTTGACTATACTCAAGTTACTCCTCTGGATTCCTAATTTCACAAGGCACTTCAAAGGAGCTCACTTTTTGCCTAACCACTTTATTTTCAATGTTTGGCCTACCAGAAAGCCTTGATTAAGATAATGGGGCACCTTTTGTATCGAGAGTTTGACTCCTTTCTGATGGGTATGGGTCCAACACTTCATAAATCTGCTCTGTACCTTCCCCAAGCAAATGGGATAAAGGAGAGACTGCATGGGACTCTGAAGAAGTGTGTCGCTTTCATACAGGAGGAATGTCAAGATACATCCTTCTTTATCGCAGTGAAGTCAAGCTTTATATGATATTTGGAATACACCTCATGAAGGTACTGGAAGAACCCTGTTCAACTGGCTCTTCAGCTGACCTATGAGTTTCATTCCTTTGGTAGTGCTGCTATAACACTAGCCTGCCTGCTGGAGAGCTCACTACTACGGCATGGGGCCTCCCTTCAGCTCAGTTACCCTGCTCCCCACACCCCATGATTCAGCCTTGGGAACACTTCCCCATTCATAGAATCATAGAATATCAGGGTGGGAAGGGACCTCAGGAGGTCATCTAGTCCAACCCCCTGCTCAAAGCAGGACCAATTCTCAATTAAATCATCCCAGCCAGGGCTTTGTCAAGCCTGACCTTAAAAACTTCTAAGGAAGGAGATTCTACCACCTCCCTAGGTAACGCATTCCAGTGTTTCACCACCCTCCTAGTGAAAAAGTTTTTCCTAATATCCAACCTAAATCTCCCCCACTGCAACTTGAGACCATTACTCCTTGTCCTGTCCTCTTTTACCACTGAGGGTATGTCTACACTACGGAATAAGGTTGAATTTATAGAAGTCGGTTTTTTAGAAATCGGTTTTATAAATTCGAGTGTGTGTGTCCCCACAGAAAATGCTCTAAGTGCATTAAGTGCATTAACTCGGCGGAGCGCTTCCACAGTACCGAGGCAAGCGTCGACTTCCGGAGCGTTGCACTGTGGGTAGCTATCCCACAGTTCCCGCAGTCTCCGCTGCCCATTGGAATTCTGGGTTGAGATCCCAATGCCTGATGGGGCTAAAACATTGTCGCGGGTGGTTCTGGGTACATATCGTCAGCCCCCCGTTCCCTCCCTCCCCCCGTGAAAGCAAGGGCAGACAATCATTTCGCGCCTTTTTTCCTGAGTTACCTGTGCAGACGCCATACCATGGCAAGCATGGAGCCCGCTCAGGTAACCGTCACCCTATGTCTCCTGGGTGCTGGCAGACGCAGTACGGCATTGCTACACAGTAGCAGCAACCCCTTGCCTTGTGGCAGCAGACGGTACAGTACGACTGGTAGCCGTCATCGTCATGTCTGAGGTGCTCCTGGTCGCCTCTGTGAGGTCGATCAGGAGCGCCTGGGCAGACATGGGCACAGGGACTAAATTTGGAGTGACTTGACCAGGTCATTCTCTTTAGTCCTGCAGTCAGTCCTATTGAACCGTCTTATGGTGAGCGGGCAGGCGATACGGACTGCTTGCAGTCGTACTGTACCATCTTCTGCCGAGCAGCCATGAGATGTGGATGGCATGCAGTCCTTCTGCACCGTCTGCTGCCAGCCAAGGATGTAAAAGATAGATGGAGTGGATCAAAACAAGAAATAGACCAGATTTGTTTTGTACTCATTTGCTTCCCCCCCTCCCCTGTCTAGGGGACTCATTCTTCTAGATCACACTGCAGTCACTTACAGAGAAGGTGCAGCGAGGTAAATCTAGCCATGTATCAATCAGAGGCCAGGCTAACCTTCTTGCTCCAATAAGGACAATAACTTAGGTGCACCATTTCTTATTGGAACCCTCCGTGAAGTCCTGCCTGAAATACTC